TTCATCATGATGTTCCTCCCTCTTAGCCTTATAAATAGAGAAGTCTTCAAGCTTCATAAATCACACCCCAAAGGGGGGAGGTCTCAAACACTTCTCTAGAGCTCCCTTCCCTTCTTTCCCTCAAATTCTCTTAATTTTGCTTTCTAGTTCTCAATTCTAGCTTTGCTTTTGCTTCTTAGTTGTAATTTATTTTTCATTATGTAAATTCTTTTCTTTAGTTTTTCAAGTTTGATTAGTTTCCAAGTTTCAATTATGGTTTTTGTTCTTATTCATTATGCTTATAAGTTAATATGCTAGTTTGAATGATTGATCACCATTAAGGCTTGGATGTTAGCTATCTTGGTTTGAATTAAGAGTATACACCATGCTTTAATTCGAATTGAACTATGAATAGGAAGAGTATGTATGGACATTCGACAACAGGGATTAGATACATGCTTGGTTGTTTAAATTGTTCTTCTATGCTTAATGGGTTCCTAATGCTTAATTTTAGGTTAGACAACAAATGATCAAATTAGGGAATTAGGAACACAAGGTTATGACCACACACCATGGCTTAATCATACTTTAGCTAGAATCAATCCATTAATCTAATTGAACTTGGGAACTTATCTGCTTGAGTTAGTTATTTTCTTTCTTCCTTGTTTTATTTATTTCCCTTCTTTTTCATTTCTGTTTTGTGTAGGGAAAATGAATTGAATCATTCAATCACCAATCCTCGTGGGATCGACCTCGCACTTACATACGCTATACTACCGAACGGTTCGTGCACTTGCGAGTATCACAAGTTGAGGATGCAGCTTAATCCATTTTGGTGCAGCTGTATCTACGCAACAGGGCTCAAGTGGACGAAAGGTCCAACCTTGAGATTTTTCGAGCTTAGACGGATGAAAGGTCTAAGCTTCATTTTTATCGAGCCCAGGTGGATGAAAGGTCCCGACTCAATTTTTTGTCGAGCTCTAATGGACGAAAGGTCCAAGCTCCATTTTTATAGAGTTGTGGAGGACGAAACGTCCCAACTCAATGTTTTATCGAGCTCATATGGAAGAAAGGTCCAAGCTCCATTTTTATAGAGTTGTGGAGGACGAAACGTCCCAACTCAATGTTTTATCGAGCTCATATGGAAGAAAGGTCCAAGCTCCATTTTTATCGAGCTCTGGATGACAAAAGGTCCCGACTCAAATTTTTATGAAGCTTATATGGACAAAAGGTCCCAGCTCAATTTTTATCGAGCCTATATGGACGAAAGGCCCCAACTCAATTTTTAGTCGAGCTTAGATGGACGAAAGGTCCAAGCTCAAATTTTGTTGCATTTAGGTCTCCATCATTATTATACAAACTTTATTTCTCCAAATTATTCTACAACAAAATTCTACAATGGTCAAGTGGACAAAGGGTCCAACCTAGCAATTGTCAAGCTCATGGGGACGAAAGGTCCAAACTAGTGAGTGATCATGTTTATCGACATAATAAATTCGTCTACATCAAATATTTGTCTGCATCAGAATTCATCTCAATCTACAACTTTGAAGCAATTAATATTCAGCTTAGTGTCATCAACAATTTTTGTGCACCTCCCCAAACAAGACTCTTGTCTGGGGACTTGGGGGACTTCTGTTTGTGGGTAAAATTACCCTAAGGCTGAGCTTCATATAAATTGGAATTCTATTAAGATATTGACGTCTACTTTGACCCTTCATTTGGATGAAGAAATTGAAAATCACATAGAATTCTAAAATGACGGAATTTCGATTTCCATCATTTCAATTTCTAGCAATTGAAGATTTCGATGTTTGGATTTATGTATGTCGAATTTTGTAAATGATAGAATTTTGTAAATGGCACTATGGAAATTGTGAAATGACACCTATTTTGATGGAAATTAAACTCAGGAATTTGATGCTCCAATTTCCACTTCAGCGTGTCATTTAATAAATTTAACGCTTAACTTACCAAACAAGAGAATTGTCAATTTCTCCTTTTTAATTCCCAACTTTTAGCTAAATTTCGAGTTGTTTTCCCTCATCCAAACGGAGGTTGAGGCTAATTAGGAAGCCTACTTCTACAAGGATTTGATTATCTCCAAGCTATTATATAAAGGCGACTCTCAAACTTGAGAGGGGTTCCTCCGAGTTCTTCCCACATCCACATGCAAGAACTCACCCCTATGTTATCAATATTTGATCTTGTTCGTCATGATTATGAGTGTGATGGGTGTAATTGGGATTTGGGTTGTGAGGATCAAACACTTTATATCTCTTGTTCTTTCTTCATTCAATAGTGAAAATACCAAACATCCCATGGACGTAGCCCGATTATGGGTGAACCACGTAATCTCTTGTGTCGCTTGATTGAATGTTCTTACTTAATTTATATTTACAAGTGCAATCCCTAAGCACTAGAACTCGTTCTAGGGGACAATCTGCTTGGTCATGCTAAGTTGGTTTGGAAGGATTGCCGACCTCGATCTCGAAGATGTCATTTTTTGCTGAACCAATTTTAGGCATCAACAAGTAACATTGGTAATGATGTTATCATGGAGCGTTTTCAAACAATGAAAACGTTTAGGGGACAATTATAAATTGTATTATTTTATGCTCCAGTAAGAATGATCATTTTGTTAATTAATATTTAATATCTCTCTTCAAACTAAATGCTTTGCACTTCCACATTTTGTCCCCAAATACAAAAAATTCTTGAATCCGCGACTGATGACAGAGTGGGAATATGTCTACTTTTTCTTGTTTATATGTTCAATGGGTCTTCGTGTCTTAGTCAATTGCCATATTTAATATGATTATTTATTTAGTTTGGAGCTAATTTTTTGATTCACATGTGACTGTCACCAATTTCTTTTGGTTGTTGTAGGGTTTGTTCTAGATGAATATCGATAATTTCCTAAGAAATAAGAAATGAGTATGACATGAATAAGAGTGAGCATGAGAGAGATGGGTTATCATCGAAACATTTTTTTTTTCTTTTGCTTAGAGAAAGATGGGTGTTTTCGTGTTGTTAGAGTTCCAGTCTTTCACCTTGACCAGAAAAAAGAAGAAAAAGAAAAGTCCATAAATTATAAGTTATAACTGCTAATAGATGGCATTACAATTGCAGCTACAATGGTTATCGTTCTCTCCTTGTCTTGGTTATCATTGGCTCCTTGTCTTGATTATCATTGGCTTCTAATCCAAGTGGTACATTAGAAATCCAAGAGTTACCAAATTTGGATAAAAATTCGAGAATAACAAAGACAAAGAGAGGTACCAAATTTGCTGAAAACACCCCTCCCTTGACTTTCTTGTATATTGTGTTCTTGCTCATTGCACTTCCCATTCAATTTTAATATCCATAAGTTTTAGCATGTTCGGTTGACCTTTAAAAATCTAAAATCGCGGTCAAGGTAGTGATTAGAACTTGTTTAATTTTTACATTTCCAGAAAGCTAGCTAATGTTGTTATATGTGATTCATGCTTTCCATCACAAACTGTCACTGATATGAGTTGTTACTATCAATTTTTGTGGGAGTGCACATGAAAAACCAACCTCAGAGCACAACAGCTGTTACCCCAGGAGTTCCCAGGACAAAAGTACCCTCAAATTCCATTGAACAACTTTCATGTCATTGTTTAGCCACATCAGTCAATGATGTGTTGGGCAGATCAAAACAATTGTGCTGCTAAGCAAGAGCTTTTCATATAGTAGAGCAAAACAACCACCTCCATACAACCTAGCCAAAACAACTTTGTGGTGCTATCTGAACACTTCAGTATGGATTCGTGCTCAGTCTAGTTGGAGTCGCGCCGAATAATGCTCAAATCAACTTAGATCTGCATCGCCTGTATCCGAATCCAACACTAACTTCTTCTCTCACATCTAGAAATCCTTACTCAAATCACCTTCCATATATGGATGAATCTCAATCCCTAAGAATCATGGACCTTTGCAGGTTATATACTAAGATCTTGACTTGCAATCCTAGTGTCATCAAGACTCACCCTTCACCAAGAATTCCCACCCTTTTGGGACACTCTCAAGTCAAGAGTATATATCTTTTTCACACAATACAAAAGTACATTACCATAATCTTCAAACCCCATCTTCTGCAACTTCAACTCACCTGCTCTCCAAATCGAATCCACCTGACTTTCTTGTCAAACACCACACTGGTGTCTCATTAATCTTTGATAGCTGCGCTGAGTTGAGACTCTTATCTGCAAAAGATTGATCCTACATCACATACATGTGGCGCTTTTTGATAAAAAAAAAATTGAAGAGAGTTTAACTACAGTGATCAAATATTTACAAAGAATATTATTAGAAGAAACATTCTAAACAAAGTAAGCATATCTCGTGTAATATACATGACTACAAAAGTCAGAGATAGAGAGAGGGAGATTTCATATCACTAAAATGTACATGCATCATATAAGCACATTTACGAACCATTCTTAGGAGAATCCATGACACGTCTGGCTTTAGGGTTTAGGGTCTGAGCATCATATAAGCACATATCACCTTATTCACCTTCAGGATAAAAAGAAAATCCATCTTTGACACTGCAGTGGTCTGAGCATTTTTAAGTGCCCCTTATCTCTTATAATTTCAGTGAGTCCATTCATGATCCTTAAGCTTGACATCAGGTAACTGGAGATCTTAAAGATTCTACTGGTAACTCATAATCTGTTCTGTGATCAAAGTGCCCAAGTCAAAGCATGTGCATGGGGCATGAGATAATATCCAGAGCATTGAGCTAGTGCTCAAGCAAAGCATGCGCTTAGTGCTGATGTCATAGGAACACCCCAAGCATCAAGCTAGTGCTTGACTTCAGCTCCCGCTCGGGTTATGAGAAGTGAGAACACCTGAGCATCTAGTACTCTGGTCAAGCTGGTAATTGCTTGCAGCTTCCTGGTTGCTCTCTCAGATATATTCATCAACATCAACTTGAATACCATATTTGAGCAGTATCTGTTGCAACTTAAGATTTGCAGTTTCTACTGGATTCATTACCCTCTTTTTTCTAAACCCAAGGACAAGTGCCTGGTGAGTAATGTAATTAGGAAAGATACCATGTTCAATCATCAAACTTATCAAGGTGCATGCATCATCCATGCTCCCAAAACTACAATGCCCATGAATCAGAGTGTTGTACAGTATCAGATCTGGACGTAATCCAATATTAAGCATCTTGTGAAACAAAACATTAGCTTCTTCTATTCGACGCTCTCTACAGTATCCATTGAGAAGAGCACTGCATGTCACTACATCAGGTTTCACATCATGCTCGCTCATGTAGAACCACACAAAAAAGGCTTCCTCAAAGTTCCCCTTCTTTGAAAACCCATCTATAAGGTTTGTGAATGTGACCACATCCAGAGAGAAACCCCTTTTGATTAGCTCAAACAAAATTTCTTTTGCCTCGATTACAAATCCTCTTGTGACAAGACTATGAATGAGAGTGTTATATGTCACAATATCAGGTGAAACATTGGAAGAATTCATCATATCTAAAAGCCCAAAAACCTTTTGTAAGTGTCCCTTCCTACCAAAGCCATCCATTAAGGTGTTGAATGTAACAATATCAGGTGCCAAACCCTCTGAAATCATCTTTTGCAACGAATATTCTGCCATTTCCATGTTTCCAGACTTGCAATAAGCATCAATGAGGGATGTGTATGTGGTAACACATGGTGTGATTCCATTTTTTAACATTTTCCCAAAATACTGAAAAGCTCTATCAATGTCTCTCACTTTGCAGTATCCATCAATTATAGTAGAGTAACAAAAGCAATCAGGGAGCAAGCCCAACATAGACATCTCATGAAACAGGCTAGAAGCTTCAACCATATTACCATCTGTGCATAACTTTGAAATAAAGCTATTGTATATGAAAATATTGAGGGGAGTATTGAAAATCTTCAATATGCTAATTGCTACCTCTGTCTGCCCCAGCTTACAGTGACCATCAATAATTGAACTAAGTAGAACTGGATCAGGAGAAATACCCAATTGAGTCATCTTAAACAATAAAGCGGTGGCTTCATTCAGATAAGACATCTTGCAAAGTGAGTTAATAACAATTGTAAATGACACCACATCAGGTTGAATCCCATAATTTTTCATTTCCAACAGCAACTTCCAACCACTTTCCAGATCACCCTCACTACAGTACTTATTAATGAATAAGCTCATCATAGCTGCATTTAAACCCATCCCTCTTGTCTGCATAACTTCCAGAAAATCCCATGCCAATTCCAACTGCTTTGATCCTAATAATGCCTGCAGTAGTGAGTTACACACCCCTTTTGAAGGAAAGATGTTTAGGTGCTTCATTTGACATGCTATTTTTAAAGCCATGTTCACCATGCCTTCCTGAATATAACCATTGACAAGTGTGCTAAATGTGGTTTCTAACACCCTTATTTCGCTATGGGTTTCATAAAGGACTTCTAGCAATGAATTGCATGACTCCTCGTCACCATGATTTCTCACAAGATGCAATATCAGATCCACTGCTCTATGATTCAGGTTTCCAGAAACCAAAATATGTATCATTCTACATATGGTTCGTATTGTATGCTTTGATCCAGAACAGCATTCTGACCACTTGAAGAAGTACAGAACAAGTTTAGCATCCAAACTCTCCTCAAACAGATCGTTCAAAAGCTCTATAATGTTCAACTGATTCAGATAGATATTATACCCATTTTGACAACCAAGATTCCATCCGCGCTTTGCGAGTATTAACATTAATCTTTTCATTTCATCTTCATCTGGTCTCTCATTAATGGAAAACGAGAAACCAGTGTCAACAGGCTCACAAACGTCGTCTCCACCACAATAAAGTTCGTTTATTCCTCTAAAGTCAGTAGGATAGCTTTTTGCATTCAGAAAAAAACCATTATCAGCAGCAACAGTATCTTCAAGTGTTGAGGTTTCATCCTCTGACAGAGTTATGGAAGATAGTGCTGAATTCACAGAAGAATAATATCTCAGTGCACTTCTCCTCCTGAATATCAGCTTCAATTGGGACGCGTACACATTGATGATTGACAACAAACCCGTCATCAACAACCTTAAAAGAGCGAACATAGCTGTACAAAGCAGAAAAAGAGGAAAAAACAAAATGTTTACATATCTGAATTACCATATATCCTTCGAGCAGATACTCAAAAAGAGCTTAAAACAATCACAAAATGATGAGCATATACAACCTCACTCTCACTTTCAACCCTAGTCACATGACCTGTTGTTGTGACGGGGGGTTGTATTCAACAGTTGTATAGCAACCAGAAACAAAAAGAACAAAAATAAAAATAAAAATGATCCTTTGAACCAGAACCAACTGTGTCTCATATTCATACCATAGCGCAAAATATATATAAAGTTTTTTTCCATGTTGTCAAATACTAGCCACTTCATAAACTTTATGTTTTACTACTGTTGATTTGTTCAACATCTCAATCCGCAAATCAAATACAATGCTAGCGTTTGAAGCCAAATCTCTTTTGTGGCATTTCATCGAACGATGACCAATTGCATATTATCACCAAATTATCAGTCATGAGATACGTGACAAATGACATGGCCTTCAGAATAGCAAATTACGCCAAAATCCAAAATCAAAACTTTGCTTCTAAGTTGAATTAAAAGAATTAGAAGAAAGAACAGAAAGCTTACCATTTGGGAGATTACGCTTGCTGTATTTACTGCTGCCTGCTGGGGATGATGATTCAGTGAGAGAGAGAGAGAGAGAGAGAGAGAGAGAGAGAGAGAGAGAGAGAATTATGTTTACAGTTTGGCCGACCGAGAATAAGCAGCTGTGTTCACCGGACAGTTGAAGAGTAACTACCTTTTCCTTATTTCGACAAGGTAGTGTTTTTCAACTTGAAGCCCTGATGTTCATATGGCCAGAAGTAGGTCGTTTTTTTTACTTTTGGGTCAATTACAAGTTTACCTCTATACTTCTGGGATTTTACATTTTGGTCTCATAACTTTAGTTTTCTTTTTCTTTTCTTCTTTTCTTTTCGGGAAATAGTAACCTCATTAATTTTTCTTTTTTGGGGCCTCTCATATTGAAAGGGTCAAAATTCACTAAACTCACACATGCCCATAGGACTCAAACCAGAACCATTCGTGCAAGAATTTCTTTTTTCCAAACCACTACATTAATGGGTCTCTTGCAATAATAACCATATTATAAAAGTAGACAAAAGAGGTGGTGCATGACCACTTTTTGAAGGGTATTTTGGTCAAAACAAATGGGTTTATGTCCAAGAAGTCTTCTTGAGCAATATGGTGGCCACCGATGCTTTTGCTACTTATGGTCATCAATTTCCTTATCTTTTTGTTTGGTTTAATCATGTTCCTTCTTTGATAGCTCTTCGGATGTTGTAAGATTATATTTTTCAAACTATGATGACAAGCTTATGGCAGATGTTACTTGAACGCATAAACTCTCTTGTTTAGGCATGCGTGCTAAAATATGATCATGCATGAGTTTCGCATGAGTTTACCCTAAACCCTCATCATCATAGTTTGCTTGAACGCCTTCCAAGTGAAAGACTGATTGGTTAAAACACACGCAGTCATACTCAGATCAAGCCTCTCTCACACCTCCTTTATCACAACAATAGCCAGAGTAGGAGTTCGGATCCATCATTTCCCCTGTTTTACCTTCAAATTACGATTGATCCGTCTAGAAGCTAGGGCGTTGTTCGCCTTTGGACACGAACATTATTCCGATCTCAGCAGAAACCTGCCGTAACTGTTGGAACTGAAGATTTCATTTTTTTTTTTAAACCTTATCTAGTAATTGTTTAAGAGTTCTTGAACAAAATTGGTTTTTAAGAGCTAGTTTCTACACATGAGGATCTGAACAATTGGTATTATGTATGAGCTCTTGGGTACTCTTCCGTTGAATGACACTCCTTTTCTTAGTTTTTATTCACCATAAATTATGTTTCTAGTCAAATAATACACATACAATAAACTGTTGCTTAACTTGTTACATTTATGCATGCTGGATTATATGTCGAAGAACATGAAACAATTGCTAAATCATGGTAAGGTTAGAAGACAAATTATAGAAAATGTTCCAGGTTCTAGAAAATCCCGAATGAATTGAATATCAATCAACCTGAGTTGATTTCAAACGGCCATTTAATCGAAGTTCATATGTCAACGTAATTTAACTTGAACAAGAGAAATTAAAGAGCCTTAGCTGCCTTCTAGAGCATTTACCTCTGCACCGATAATCATAGTTCGGCTTTCGCCCTTTCCATTTTCAGAATATAAGAACAGAAAGAAAACAAGAGAAATAGAACATTTAAAAGTTTTAGATGATATTAGAATCAACTCTTGGTGCAGATAAAATTGTCAAATGTGCTTGATGTCTGGCCTGCAAACCCCCCTTCTAATTCTAGATAGGAATTCCAGGTGAAACCAAAAAGAGCCAAGAAAAGAGAGATGCCCAAGAGACTAGAACAAACATTTAAATCTTTTTCCTTTCTTTCCTATTATCAACAAATACAAAGAATATGTAAAGGTTAATGTACAGGCTTACAACTGATCCATCCCTAAACATAAACTTGAGGAGATGTACACCTTTTTTTTTTTTGCTTTTTTCTTTTTCAAAAGAATTGATTTACTAATATTAGAACTGGCCATTTTAAACTACATGTCAAACCCACCACTATCTTCTACAAACCACCAGTACGGCAAACCTTATAGTGATACCTATACGGCCACCACAAGAAAATTTGTAATGCCCTTTCCAGTTCCACCAACCCATGAACTTCAAAAATATGCTTCCCTTTCTCTCGATACCAGAGATTCTATTTCTAACTAGAGAAAGCCTTCTCCCAATACCAGAGACTCCACGTTTACGACTAGAAGTATTCAGCAAAATATTCTTCTAACATCTTCAGCACGTACAATTCATGTTCTGGAATACTAGAGTTACTTCACGCGAAACTCATGCCTGAATACTGTCAGGTTTTGGGTAAACTTGTCCCTGTTCTTTGAATCCAAGCTTCTGGTAACATCTGCCATAAGCTTGTCAAAACACTGTGAAAGCCGCTGATGTTGATCCGCTGGCTGCAGGTCAATGCAAAAAGAGTCATGTACAGGTGACAATAATTTGAAGAGATACATAGGGTTCTAGAAAACTATTCTCTTGTCAGATTTATATCGCATGACAAATGCTTGTGTTGCTAGACTGTGAAAACACATTCACGAAAAAGTCAAACTGATCAATAGTCCAAATTACAGTCTGCAACATCGCATCTTTCTCTCCCTATCACTAAAATACACGTATAAGACTTGAAAAGATGATTTGGCTGTGATTTAGCACTCTTTTTGTTCGAAAATATATATATTTCAATTTTAAATTCATTGTTACTCAAACAAAAAGTTCGTGTTTGGCCCATCCAATTAACTTGATCTTTAAAATAGTGAAGGCATGACTGACCTGTGAAGCCAAGATCCGAACTTTCAAATCAGAGAACATCTGCAAGTTAAAGACCACCTTTCAGTAAAATATAAAGTAACATAGGATAAGTGAAAAGGTTGGGACCATCAATGCAAATCCCTTTCGGTGAAGTTTTTGGTTTTTGGTTTTTGGTTTTCTTTCTATCTATTCTCCCATCACTCTTCCTCACTTCTTTCTCTTTCTTCCTCTCTTTCTCTCTCATGAAAAACTAAACTAAAAAACTTTATCAAATGCAGCCCAAGTAGTTTGGGGTTTCAGCTAATTTGGCCATGCTGATACAAGAAGAATTAACAAAGTTGGCCCACCACAATGAGTTGAACAAAAACATAAAAGGCACTGAATTCAAACGTGCAACTTCTGTATGGAAACGCAAAGGGAGAGCATCCTTTCGTTGGTCAAGAAGGCCATGAGAACAGAGAAAGGTTAAAGACTATATATAAATACTGTACAAATACTGTTGAGACACAAGGCAAACGTACAACATTTGAATATGTTCTTACATTATGAAATGCACAGTGGAGGAGAGTACCATACATAATAGGAGGATCCTTCAAGATTAACAGTTAATAGAGAGAGAGAGAGAGAGAGAGAGAGAGAGATCTGCTCTGTTTCCAAGAAATGTACTAAAAGCTGAATAGAGAAAAGAAAACATTCTTTTCAATTGGCAGAAGAAAAGTACAAGCACATACGCGCACACAGCACGAAATTGAAGAAGCCGATGTTGCACATTACGTGTTGTTTCTGTGGCTAAAGATTTGAACAAGGTAAACTACGAAAGTAAAAGGCCACACATGCACTCAAATAAAAGTATCACACACAGAATGGGAAATTGAATAGTGTATCAGATGAAGATAGGATGAACTGATTAATAAGGGGCATTTAAGAAACAATGTTGCACACATTCCTGTTGTGTTTGTGGCTATAGATTTGAGCAAGGCAAAATATGAAAGTAAAAAGCCACACATGCGCTCAAATAAAAGTACAACACAAACACACACACACACACACACACACAGAAAAGAAAATTGAATAGTGTATCAGATGAAGGTAGAATGAACTGACCAATAAGGGGCATTTAAGAAACTGATGTTGCACGCACATGTGTTGTGTGTGTGGCTAAAAGTTTTGAACATGGTAAAATATGAAAATTAAAAGTCACACATGCACTCAAGTAAAAGTATCACCTGCTCACTAATAAGTATCAAGCTGAGCATTGGTCTGCTAAGACTCCACTGGTTGCCACAGTCCTCGAATAAAACAATCTCAAATAGCGTCTTCAGTATCTTTACATATAAAAGAAAAAAACAATCAGATTATTAATATAACCTAAGAAATTGAGTAATCATGGAGGAACAAAATAATAAAAAGTCATCAAAGTTTGGAAACCTAAAGAAAGAGTAAGCGTATTCAATTCACTTCATATACATGGGGTATGCAAGTGATTTCATGCAGAAGTTTGACACAAGACCAAAAATTATAATCATCATTGACAGCACATAATTCACACAAAATGCTATTCTGAGCACTAAACTTTTTCAATATTGTAAATTACAGACTTTCAAGTTTCAAGATTCTATTCAGCTCTGTAACAAGGAAAAAAAAAAGTTTTCCATTCTGAATACCAAACTATAACCACCTAATTCCCAAAAAAAAACCAACCCGAAGTCCACAAGAGCATATATACATCTAGACCTCGTCCTCTTAACGGTGAGGCACACAAACACTTGATTCACAGACATCCAGACATGGGATTAATTGAACTAAAAAAATGCAAAACATATGTATACAAGTCAATTGGATTTGTGCATTTCCTCAAGTTATTATGTGAGACAAGAGCAAACACTTAAAATATTGGAGCTCAATGCCAAAGAAAAGCATATCCACTTAACTAAGCACAAAGTGTAACATAACCCAGAAATTAGAGCAACAACGTACAGATCCCCACTTACTTCTGGAAACAAATTGGGGCAGTCTGAAATGTGACGAGCAAGATTGACCGCAGTAGGTAATGTGGGCGCCTCACCCATTGTGATGTTGTTGAAGTAGAAAGCAGCCAAATTATCAACAGCAGATGCACACTAGCGCAAAAGGTAAATTTTAGGATTGAATAATGAAAATAATGAAAAATATGATCGCGGATGAAGAAAAGTAACTGGTCAGTTGGTACAAGCACATTTCTACTTGAGATTCCTTTTTTTTTTTGGGACAACAATTGCTTGCCAGAAACTTTATTCGGTGGAATGAATTTTTTAAGTAATTTTGACATTTGTTTTCCAAATAAACATTACTATTCTATTTCAGTTCCAATAACCACAATACCCAGATTTCTACTAGTACAGTGTTGGCTGGTTGGGGGTTAACACTTGGGTATTAGCAGTCACTAGCCATTGA